GTTGTGGGGCATCCAGATAGGGGTTCTGAAGGAGTGAGGACACGGGTTTTGTCTGGTATGATCACTGCTCCACCCCTAGCACCAAGAACAGTGCCTGACACCTAAAGAGTATGCAATGCATACCTGGTGTGCCATTTTCAGCTGCTTCTCTGCAATGGGTGAGGGAATCTTGTTAGAATTTAATAAAAACGAAGAGTATAAAATATCTTAAGTGACAGAATAGGGGTTCTCCTCTGTGTAAATTATTTGAACTCTAGTGTGTTATATGCCCCTTTTTCCATGGCCCCGAGGTTTATTTTAGGTCTGGCATGAAGTAGGTAAATGCTTAATGGCTGTACTTTGGATTCCTGGTTTTCAGCTCTGTTCTAAATAAGATTGCTTCAAAACTGAGGAGCTTCTGTGTTACTTTGACCTTGATATTCAGCTGGGTTATTTTAAAAGATTAATTTCCAAAGTTCAGTTAACTAAGTAAGATGGAGCTATTTAGAAATTCAAGGTAGTCTTTTTTGTGCCTACGTGTGGTTGTGAGTCCTGCCCCTCACCCCCTGCTATGAGCAAATTGTGTGCTTTCTAAAAATACTGCTATTGAAATATTACCATGTCCCAAAAGGGATTAAATTGTGAGAACAATAGAAATGCCTTGTCATCTTTCACAGGGTTTGAGATTATCGGAATTTGAACATGTTTCTCTTTCCCTCATATTTTTAAGGGTCTGAGAGTACCACTCCAAACCTTTGAGTCTCTTCTGTTATTTTTTTTTTACCAAGCAGATATCTAAGTATCTATTGTTTAAAGTATCTTTATCTACTCTATTCTGATTTTTTGGTGTTTTGTTTTTAAGTCAACTGAAAATTACCTTATTCCTGTTAAGTAAATTTCTTTCCCCGGCTCCACTTTCCTCTTTATTAACCTTTAGAGAAAGATGATGCAGAATATGAGTTATAGTACATTCTTTCAAGGTGTGTGTGTGTGTGTGTGTATACATATATATCCATACGCACACACACACTTCATTAAAAAAAAAGAATATTGCATATTATTACATTGTTCCCTGATTAAGGTAAGCAAGCACAAATGAAGAAACTCTTTGATACCAATTTTTTTTTTAACAAAGGATAGTTGAGTGCCTTTATCATAGCAGGCACAAGGCTGGTCTCTGAGCTAGAGACATGAATGTTATAGTTTCTGAATTTAATGGCTTCAAATTCTAGTTAAACAAATGGACAACCAACCATTGTGTTAAAGAGCAGAAATGGCCCGACCAGCGTGGCTCAGTGGTTGAGCTTCGACCTATGAACCAGTTGATTCCCAGTCAGGGAACATGCCTGGGTTGTGGGCTCAACCCCTGGTGGGGGCATGCAGGAGGGAGATGATCAATTATTCTCTCTCATCATTGATGTTTCTATCTCTCCCTCTCCCTTCCTCTCTGAAATCAATAAAATATATGTGTGAGTTTTTTGTTTTGTTTTTTAAAGAGCAGAAATGTATGTATGAGGGGAAGTGAGAGTACAAAAAGGGTAAAATAGAATTAAATTGTAAATTGTATAGGGTTGAGAGTTGGACAGGGTGGGACAGGTTGTTGCAGGAGAGGAAAGTGACTTACTGGCATGTGAACTTGGCATATTCTAAGAATGGGCAGGGGTTCTGTGAGCCACATCATGAATAACTAACAGTATGCTAAGGACTTGGTTTTATTCATCAACTGATAGAGACTTGCTGAAGGGTTTTTTGAATGGCAGAGTGTCATGATCAGATTAATAGGAAGAATGGATGGAAGCAGGGCAGTCCGGAACATGCCAGAGAGCAAGTTAGAATGGACTCTCATAATCTAGAAAAGAAGTGGGGAAGCTCTAATTGAACCAGTGATTTTTAGTTTGTTTTTCTTTTCATCCTCACCCGAGGATATTTTTCCCATTGATTTTTAGAGAGAGTGGAAGGGAGGGGAAGAGACACCAAGAGAGAAATATCTATGTGAGACAGACACATCAATTGGTTGCCTCCTGCACATGCCCCAACTGGGGCCAGGGATCGATCCTGCAACCAAGGTATGTGTCCTTGACCGGAGTAGAGCCCAAGACCCTTCAGTCCTCTGGCCAAAGCTCTAACCACTGAGAAACCCGGCTAGCGCTGAACCAGTGATTTGTGTAGCTAATCCAAAATTTTAAAATGTGTTTTTTTTGCTTTAAAACTCAACACATTCTGAAATTTTGGTTTAGCAATAAGATTCATGAAACTTAAATACAATATAAGTTTCAGAAAGTTTTATGAAGTGTCAGGTATTAACTTCTTTGGGTGATTTTGACTTTAAATTCTTCAGCTGTTGGCTCAGTACAGAGTAACTTATGTGCTGACCTACAACAGTGGTTTTCTGCTATTTGGTGTATGTTCTCATCATGGAAGTAATTACAGCTACTTGAAAATACTGTGTTCTGCCTTAGCCTATGGTCCCAAAGCTGCCTTTTCTGCAGAGCATTTGTATTGGAAAGAAATTTTTACCATTTCACTTACAATCTCACCAAGGCAGTAAGTTTCTAGAAAGCCCTGAAAATACTCTAGATAAGCAGAATTTCAGAAATCTGAAAGCAGGAACTAGGAGACTGAAATTAAATGCTTGTTGTAGGTATAGGTAGATTTTAGGTATGTCATGTAAAATTGATTGTAGTTAAACAATACACTTATATTATCAAGGTCAATATTCTTTTTAAAATTATGCCCCAAATCTTTAAAATATGCTCTTTTTACATGTATTTTGCCAATCTCTTTTTTTATTTCAGCTTAAGTAGACCAGTATCAATTGACATTTAATTAAAAAAAAACTGAATTATAAACAACCGTGGCAAAAGATAAGGCTAGTAAAATAGAAAAAATATATATATATAAGAATCCATTTACTGTAGAAATAACTATTTAGACATTTTTACTTTATAAATATGCATATGAATATAGGTCCCAATTCTGTATTGTACATTATTATTTTATTTTCTACTTTTGTCTCTGTTTTTTCCTGTAGGATTTCCTTATGTTAAACACACAGTTCTTATCTTTATCTTGTTTACATGCTTGCTCTTCTTACTGACTTTTAAAAGGGTTCAGAGCAGGGGTGGGCAAACTTTTTGACTCGAGGGCCACAATGGGTTCTTAAACTGGACCGGAGGGCCGGAACAAAAGCATGGATGGAGTGTTTGTGTGAACTAATATAAATTCAAAGTAAACATCATTACATAAAAGGGTACGGTCTTTTTTTTTTTTTAGTTTTATTCATTTCAAACGGGCCGGATCCAGTAGTTTGCCCACGGCTGGTTCAGAGCATAGCTGTATCTTATTAGCCCATCTATTCCTGCATAGAGTCTGAGACCCAGTGACAGTTTAATCCATTATATTTTCCAGGTGTTCATGATCTTACTAACTTTCCTTTGTTTTTTTGATCACTATCATTTGTTTCCTGACTCTGCATAATTGAACTGGATTTTATGGATGGAAAAGCTAAGGAGCATAAATTGCGTCCTCTTTTTCCATTCCATCTGGGTTGTGTGGCCTTTATCTGATCTGAGCTGTTGCCACCTCCTCACCTCCTCCTCTCCATCCCCTCTCCACCAAGCCCCAGGATTCTGTGATTCTCCACGTTCTCTCACTCCCCTGCTTTAGGCTTGTCCCTGCCTGACTGCTAGTAGGACAAAGGTCACATTCTGTTCCAGGTCAGGCAGGTTCTTCATAGTCTGGCATCCACTAACCTCTGGTCTCAATCTCATCTCTAGCCTGTCACGAGTCCCTGTGCTCCAGTTTCATATTAAAAACAAACAAACAAAACATGGTTTTCCGAAAATGCCATATTCTGTATTACCCCCTGCCTTTGTACCTCCTCTGTGGGCACTTTACTGAGCAGACAGTTGTTCCTTGAATCCTCTGTGGTCCATAGCATTTTGTTCATTCAGCAGTTATAACTTGTACCAAACTGTATTATTAGTTTGTGTATCAGACCAAGTTTTACAAAGCCCCTGACCTACTTGTTCTTACACCCTCTGGGCCAAGCACAATTCCCAGCATATCAATTTCCAGATACCCTCGATAGTGGAGCTACTTAATTTGTCTAGAGTTATGAAAGTATGAAAACAAGATAACATATCAACTTAGAGATACAAATGTTTAGATCTAAAATGCATATGTGCCTAATAGCCACATTAGTTTATTATGCCATTTGAAAGGGCATCTGTGAAAGTATTCCAAGCAAGACAATTAAAATTGACTATTTTGGAAAATCAGATTCTTAGGGAGCCATCTGGGGCACATCTGGGGCTAGATAAACCTGCATCTATTTTGAGTAGTCCCCTGATTCACTAGGTGACCCTACATGTTTATAAAAACTTGCTGAGTAGAAATTTATTTCAAATAACACTTGGCATAGGCATTCAAAAAAAATCAGGCTATGAAGAACCTTAATATAAATAAAAGCAGAGTGCTAGTTCTTTCCAAGATTATGATAGTTGTACATTGGTGCTCATTCCTGTGATGCTGATTATCAACCTAAGAAAATATAATGCACAATGGACTCACAAAAATTTCTGAAGCCTGGATGAGCATTTTTTTATTTCAATTACAGTTGACATACAATATCATTATTTTCAGGTGTACAACATATTGATTAGACATTTATATACCTTACAAAGTGATCCCCCAATAAGTCTAGTAGCCCTCTGACACCACACATAGTTATTACAATAGTATTGACTATATTCCCTGTGCTGTACTTTACATTCCCATGACTGTTTTTATAACTGGCAATTTGTACATCTTAATTCCTTCACCTTTTCTGAATGAGCATTTTTGAGTGTGTTTTTCAAGTGTAGAGATTCAAATGAACATATTCTTAATATAACAATTTGTATATGAATCTTTTGAGCAGTGCACATAAAGAACCTTTCAGTGTTCGCTTTAAACACGGAAACTGTCTTATTTTAGTAATTATTTTTATTTCAAAAGAAACTGTGGTTTTTATTTTTCAGTGTTGAAAATGAGCCCATGAGTACAAGTCAGAAAAAGGAAAATGTTCTTTCATCAGAAGCAGTAAAGGTATAGTTTTAAATACATGTTTTATATCAAGCAAATATTTTTCTTCATTTCTGCTCATTCTTATTTTTTAGATTCTGTCATCTCATTTTATATTCCCAAAAGAGCACTTTATGTGGAAATCCAGCCCAGCTCTGCCAGACATTTGCATCTGGGGGTGGGGTAAAGGTGCGGGGAGAAGGGCACCAAAGGAGTTGAAAGAGTCGGGGGTTCTTATCCCAGTTTGGCCACTAACTGGCTGTGTAGCCTTCACCTGAGGTGGTTAACTTCTTTGTGCCTTAGTTTTCTAATCTGTAAATTGGATCACAGCCTCTTTCTCTAGGAAGATCTTTCATTTATGTTGTGTTTTCTCAAATGCTGCTGACAACTAAAGGTGCTTTTGAGGGTAGAAGTTAACAACATGTTCTCACATGGCATTAGTATGTAATGATATATTTGGTCAGCTCACATATGAACTGGCTTTCTTTGCTTCTGAAGTGTATAAGCTATACACCTCCCTAGATAGTTATGGACAAGTGTGGTTAAAAAAACTTGAAAATCACTAAACCTTGTAACATTTCTTTTCGCTCATGCGGATTTTCTATAAATTAGATGTTGGTTTTGTTTGGTGATGTGAGGCCAGGTATGTGGTCACATTTTGGTAGCCGTCCAACATTCGTAGAGTTTGATCCCAGTTACTTCCTTTATATCTGATTTGTGACAGTCGGTCAAGGAGAAAGTGTGTGCTTTCCAGGGATTTTAGGGTAGCTTAGCTTGGTCAGTGGAAGGACCAGAAAGTCATCTGAATTCTTCATTACTGATGTGGGCACTTTTAAACATTATGTAAGGTCCAAATGCAATAGATATGGTCAAGATAAAGCTGTTTTCGTTCTTTAGTCCTGCCTTCCCCATCATTGTAAACAATATCAATATTATTTGAAAGAAAAAAAATGAATCTCTGGGTTTTGTTTTAGAACTTTAATGAAAGAATAAATCAGGATCACCTTGCTTCCCTTATCTTTCTTCATTCCTTTGTGAGTTTGGCTACAAAATCCTGCCCCCAGGTTTTATAACATCTCCCCCCTCCCCTTTTGCAGTCAGTTGTTAGCCAACCTGCTGCTTTATTACTGCACATACTCTATAGCTTTCTTCCTCTCCTTTTTCAAAATTCTCACTTCCAATTCAAAATGCTCACTTCCAGTGCTATACAGGCAGCCTTGCCCTTGAATGGCTTCACAGGAGGTGTTACTTGTGAGATCTCAAACTTCGAAGTTTCTTTGGCTGCCAACTCTTGTCATTCCATCTCTTAATCCCTCATGGCCTCTGCCCCCACCCTTGACCTTCACCAAACCTTCCTGTTCTTGTTCCCTTCTCCCCTCTTGGTGTCTACTTGTTTCTCTACTCAGCCTGTAACCTAGAGTGTACTACTTCAGCTCTAATCTCACTGTGAAAAACCAGTCTCCAAACTTGGCCTTCAGGTGTTAATTTCCAGTAGTGCTACTTTCCACCTGCAGAGATTTCTTCTAGAAAGCCACATCTTTGTGGATTCAGTAAATATATATGGTGGGTGGAAATAGTGGTGAGGCCTCCATGATTACAATCTTTTCTATCCCTTCTTGTTTTGAGTGCCCAGGACAGTTCAATTTGGGCTCTAGGCCCCCAAGTAAATATGACTCATAGTCATGAGACTGTTTCTCTTTATGATTTGAGGCCTATAAGGTTGCTTATACCCGGGCAGTCCAGCTAGCCTGTAATAGAACAGGCACCATGGAACTCTCACAGGGGTAGCCTGAGCATTTGGCCTATGCATCATCTTCGGACATCATTACATTTTTATTTCTTAAAATATCACTTATATGCTATACAGTCGTGTGCCACTTAATGGCAGATACATTCTGAAAAATGCATCATTAGGCGATTTTGTCATTGTACGAACATCACAGAGTGCACTTACACAAACCTGGATGGTAGCCTATTGCTCACCTAGGCTAAACGGCATAGCCTATTGCTCCTAGGCTACAAACCTGTACAGCATGTTACTATACAAAACATAAGATTAAATCAAGCTCAGTTCAAGATGATGTAATCAGGATATGTAAACACCACATGAGATTGCTGCCAGCATAATATGACATACTCTTTTTTTTTAATACTGATTTTAGAGAGAGAGGAAGGGAGAGAAGGAGATAGAAACACTGATTTGTTGTCCACTTATTTATGCATTTGTTGGTTGTTTCTTGTATGTGCCCTGACCGGAGATTGAATCCGCAACCTGTCATACCAGGACAGTGCCATGACACACTTTTACAGCAACTTTTTTTTTAAATAAGAAGAATGAACGCACTCTAAAACAACAATAAAAAGTATAGTAAATACATAAACCAGTAGCATAGTCATTTATTATCATCAAGTATTATGTACTGTACATAATTGTATATGCTGTACTTTTATACAACTGGCAACGCTTACAGCAGCATCACCACAAACGTGAGTAATACATTGCCCTACAGTGAGGGCTACAATGCCAGGTGATAGGAATTTTCAGCTCCATTATAATTTTATGGCACCACTGTAGTATATGCGGTCCATTGTTGACTGCAACGCCGTTATTCAGTGCATGACTATACACATTTTGCTGTTTTGCTAACATTAGAGCTATTTGTTACACTTGCATCTGCTATTCCACTGTAATATGAATATTTTTTATATTAATCAGGTTGTTATATCTAGCTGGGAAAACTTACAGGTAGTCCACATTCTACCTTTATTTCTCTGTGGGTTCTACAATCTTCTATTGCAGCTTTAGACTCTTGCTGCTTTCATGTCTACTGTTATTTAAAAGAGGGACAGGTTTTAAAGCCCTGCTCCCTTCTACCTACATCAGAGGAATAGTCATCCCTTTCTCCCTTCTAAGGCTAAACTCCCTAAAGACCCCACCAGTAGTATTGTTCACATAATTCCTTGGGCCTTGTCTTGACTGCATCCATCCCTCCATCTTCACTGGCTTCTTCTATTTCTCTCTAAATATATAAAACACAATTGTTTTGTGTTTGTTTTATTGCTTTTTTCATTTTAGGGGTCTGGGTTTTTTTCAGTCTATTTTTTTCTTCACTCCTACCTGTTACCCAAACATTTCTTATGAAAGTCGGTCTTAATCACTGTTTAATTCTTTTTTTCTCTCTGCCTTCTCCCCCCTCCCTCACTGTTTAATTCTTAATGCTTTCTCTTTTTTAAATCTTTTATGGTGTTTTTTTATTTTATTTTGTTGTTGCCAGTATCACAGATGTCTCCCATTTTCTCTTTTTTTGCCCCACTCCACCCAACCCTTGCCCTACCCCAGGCCTTCCCCATGCTATTGTCTGTGTCCATGGGTTATGCATATATGCACATACGTTCTTTGGTTAATCTCTTCCTGTGCCCTCTCCTACCAAACCCCTCCCTCACTGAGATCTCTTGTTCTGTTCCATACATCCATACCTCTGGACTTATTTTGTTGATTAGTTTATTTTATTCTTTTTTAAAAATATATATTTTATTGATTTTTTACAGAGAGGAAGGGAGAGGGATAGAGAGTTAGAAACATCGATGAAGTGCCTCCTGCACACCCCCTACTGGGGATGTGCCCACAACCAAGGTACATGCCCTTGACTGGAATCGAACCTGGAACCCTTGAGTCTGCAGGCCGACGCTCTATCCACTTAGCCAAACTGGTCAGGGCTTATTTTATTCTTTAGATTCTACATATACGTGAGATCATATGATACTTGTCTTTCTCTGACTGGCTTATTTCGCTTAGCATAATAGTCTTCAGGTCCATCCATGCTATATCAAAGTGTAAAAGGTCCTTTTTTTTATAGCTGCATAGTATTCCATTGTGTAAATGTACCTCAGCTTTTTTATCCACTCATCTACTCATGGGCACTTGGGCTGTTTCCAGATCTTAGTTATTGTAAATTGCGCTGCTATGCACATAGGGGTGCATATAGTCTTTCTGATTTGGTGTTTTGGGTTTCTTATGATATATGCCCAGAAGTGGGGTTGCTGAATCAAACAGCAGATCCATTTTCAATTTTTTGAGGAATCTCTATACTGTTTTCCACAGTGACTGTACCAATCTACATTCCTACCACCAGCAACATACTAGGGTTCCCTTTTCTCCACATCCTGGCCAGCACTTAACATTTGTTGATTTGTTGATGGCAGGTGTGAAGTGGTACCTCATTGTAGTTTTAATTTGCATCTCTCTGATGGTTAGTAACCTTGAGCATATTTTCATGTGTCTATTGGCATCTGTATGTCCTCTTTGGAGAAGTGTCTATTCAGGTCCTTTGCCCATTTTTTAATTGGATTGTTTGTCTTCCTGGTTGTGATGTGTATAAGTTCTTTGTATATTTTTAAAATTAAACCCTTATCAGATGTATCATTGGCAAATATGTTTTCCTATCAGTAGGTTCCCTTTTCATTTTGTTCATGGTTTCTTTTGCTGTGCAAAAGCTTTTTAGTTTGATGTAGTCCCACTTGTTAAATTTTTTCTTTGTTTCCCTTGCCCTAGGTGATCTATCAGTAAAAATACTTCTACATGAGTGACTGAGATTGTACTGCCTTCTTTTTAAAAAAAATATGTTTTTATTGATTTCAGAGAGAGGAAAGGAGAGGGAGAGAGGCATAGAAACATCAATGATGAGAGAATCGTTGATTGGCTGCCTCCTGCATGCCCCCTACTGGGAATCGAGCCTGAAACCCAGACATGTGCCCTGAGCGAGAATCGTACCATGACCTCCTGGTTCGTAGTTCGATGTTCAACCACTGAGCCACACTGACCCGGCTTTACTGCCTTCTTAATGCTTTCTGACTCCTGCCTTTCCCCTAGTCCTCTCAGGCATGGGAAACCTAGTACTGTCCTGGCACATGTGTTATAGATACTCAAGTAGTTGTTAAATGAGTGAAGGTCATTCCACGGATCTGGTGGCTTCTTGTTAACCACATTCAATGCCTTTTTCTTTAAAAAAAATTATTTTTTATTG